ACTATATAAGAGTGTTAACACCAATGGTATAAGAAGACTTATATAAGCAAATAGCACTTGAGATTTATGGAAATGGAAATGAGGATCATGAACCCATGAAAGAGTACTCATAGATCATAGATCATGGGGTTCAGAGTATATAAAAGTATGATGGTTGTATTGGCCATGTGGAACACCATCAAACCAGTAAGGTCTTGTGGGTATGTGAATCCCTGAGGAAAAGGTTAAAATGAACTCAGGGTATTCATGTCCTTACACAAGACATAGGAACATATTATGAGTGGATAAACTCCTAAGTGGTGGATGCTACTAGTCAAATTCGAAATTGACAAATGTCTGGTCATAAGTTGACATGTAATGAGGTAGTAAGTAGCATATGGTTCACTGGATTAATGGTTAAAGGAAGACCATGAAAATGAGAAAAGGAATTCTCAAGAACAGCATTGTTCCTAAGCTGTTCATGGACTGAAATTATGCAGCTGCAAGTAATATGGAATACTAAGAAAATATTTAGTACAATCAGTCCATGTGTATTATACAAAAGGGTGTATAGTAAACTAATCCATAGAAAGGATGGATGGTTCAATGATTAAGTCATTGGCATATGTGTTGAGATCAGCACTACCAAACTTCATAAGAAGTGGACGTATGGAAAGGCTAAGGAAGCCATATGGTCCATACCAAAGTTCATACCGACCAAGGCTAAGGTCCGGGTACATTCTAAGTCCAAATCATCCATGGTGTGATGACCAATATGTTGGTTCAAAACGTGCTTATGACCTAAAGGTACTAAACTATCAAGGTGCATAGTTTAAAGGTCTTAAGGAACCAATGTAGTATAAATTGTACCTATACATCACCACACATAAGCCATGTTGTTATGGCAACATTAGGCACTCATTGGCGAGTTGTTGACATGTGTGGGTAAGGTCCATGACTACAATGTACTTTGGTACGTTGCTTAGTATAAGAAGGTCATGGGACACCATCAAAGGAAGTATAGTATGTGATGTTTAAGTACAAAGGTTATAGTGTGGGACTTGAATGAAGGCACGACCATTAGGCTAGTACTAATGGATTAAAGAAAACTATAAGAGTCCAAAAGAGTGACCAAAAGTAGGCATGGTTAAGTCCTAATAGATATGGTATTGCTAAAGGCAAGAAAGGTCGATAAGTCATGTTTAAAGGTCCATGAGCATTTGCTGCAGATCCATGGTTGGATTTGATCATAATATTCATTGCAGCACCTGGTGAGGTAACTCATAAGGTTATGGACGTGATAGTTAAGGTCTATTACCCAACATGAACTTACCCAAAGGATGGGAAAGGATATCGACCATAATGGACAAGACCAAATGGACTAGGCATGTCCATGGGAACCTAAGGTTGGTTCATATATGTTTTGGTCTATGACTCTATAGTATGTCCACGAAATGGCTAGGCCATGTGATCAGTGGATCCGTGGGACATAAGAGGACACGAGATGGGCCTGCAAACAATGGTTGTATGCAGATCATAAGCCCATCCAAGTACTGGTCAAGTACCATCCGACCAGGAGACCAGTCCAACAAGGAAATCAGTCCAACCAGGACATAGAATGGTCAATTGCATGAGAGGCACGACATGACCATGTCTTAATGGAGTTCCAGAAGGCATTAAGAGACACTAGAAGTTCCAAGATGATCACACGTCAGTGGTGTATTCATCAGGGNTAATGAGGCAACATCCAAAGCATGAAATGAACTTTGACCGGATATATCAACCAAGGGGGAGTGTTAAGAAATGAAGATGGTGGTTGGGACATATCCGGAAATGGACCAGACCACATCAGTACCATACCAGGCGGCCAAGCATCAGTCACTATCCTCCCTTGTATTTATCCATATGTTGTAGTTATCCTAATCATTATAGAATTAGGATAATCATCCCCTTTATTATTGTAATCCTTATCTCCTAAGGAATATGCTTATTCTCTTGTATGTATATATATGTATGTGCACGTGATGAATAAGATATACAGAGTTACAACCTTCTTCTTTATTCCACAACATTTTCCTTTTTTTCCCTTGAAATTTCTTTTGACAAATATTTAGTCACAATATCGAAAGAAAGATCTTTTTTTTTATAATAAATAAAAAGTATGAAAAGTTAAATTGGAGTCATAGACATCCATCAGAATCTGTGTAAACTGTAATACTTTAGATTTTGTAGGTTTAGAGTTGATTTGTTCTTTTTGCTTAGCTTTATTTAGTGAAAGTGATTTTCATTTGATTGGCTGCATTGGTTAAACCCTGAAACTAAAGACCTCATCTCATAAGACTGATTTTACAGAGTTTGGCAGCACAACAACTAGGTTCTGGATATAGCTAGTACACATTAAGAAAGATATTACTAACGCCGTCATTATAGTCAAATTTAAATATGATGATACCTGCAGCATCTCAGATTTTAATCTATTTATTAAAACAAAGGTGGGTCAATTGGGTTCAATTAGATTAGGGCTTGAGTCTCCTTAGATCCAGATTGTGGTAAGATTACATACATGAAATTTAGATACTGAAGTTATTATCATTCGGTATTTTTTGCATATTTAAATATTAATAATATGCTCACAATTAACAGTTTTTTTCTTGATTTGAGGCTTTTTCTGTGTAGTTACATAATATTATGCAGTTGTTTCCAAATTAAGTATATATATTATACATTATGTAAATTGTTTATTTAAAACGTGTAGACCGTCAAAGGCTAATGACACTTCTCTTATTTTCTCAGCTCTCATCCTTAATGGTTTTGCTTTTACAGTTTGCCTAACTTACACGTTGCAACTATGACATCTCTTAGAATGATTAGAACTTTTCAAAATGAGAGGATCTCACATATCTCTCAAAATTGTAAAGAAGTTGCAGGACCAAGAGCAGATGATGAAAGACAATGCAGATTGATACACCAAAAGATAACCAAAGTTGTCAACTTAAAAAGAAACTTGCAAGATAACCTAAAAGAAGAAGAAAGCTCAAGTTAATGTCTCATCATGTTTCTTGAAACCAAGAAACTTTCTCAAACTCCATTACATTCCACAACAGCCTCAGCAGCTCGTCTAGGCTTGCTTTTCCTCCTGCTTCCGTTCTGTCTGAAACCAGTAGATGTCGTGGAACCATCTCTACTTGATTTTAAACCTAATCTATTCTCTTCTTCATTTACATCCGTATTGCTTCCATTAACCATCTTCCTCTTCCTCTCGTTTTCTTCTTTTTTACTTGTTACTGAACCATCCTCTTCTTCTTCCTCTATCTTCTCTATCAACTCCTCTTCTTCCTCCTCTTCGAAATCATCTTTCATAGGCTTATGTGGCCTTCCTCTTCTCCTATAAGCTGGAATCTTTTCACCTTCTTCACCACTTCCATGATCTTCCCGAGCTGATGCACTCTGCTTCTTCCCTTTCCCTCTACCTCTTCTCATTGTATACAAACCCCACGGAACAACACTACTCGTTATAGAAACCTGAAAGCCAAGTCTTCATTTATGTCATTCTCCACATGCAGACTACCAACAAATCAATCAAGTTACATATATACTCCCTTAACACACACACACACACTTTCAACAACCAATTATAAACATGAAAACAAGATTCTATCTAAAACATTGACCACACCTCTTTTAACATGTATCTCAAGATTCCATTTATACAGCTTCGATTCTATCACTGAGAGACGATTCATAAATAACAAAACGTTAGAGACTCACCTTATGTGTGGCTAAATAACAACCATCAGAATTTTTTGACACATGAATGAACTTTACTCAAGAAACCAAAAAAGAAATGGTATCTTTCTTTCCTCAGATACACACACTCAGCACTAGCAGCAGCATCATCATCCTATCAACCATTGGCCAATGGATGACTTCTTAAGTCCACGTTGTAGATGTGATTACGAGATTTTTTTCACATACTTCTTAATCACACGCGCTTAAATCGGTACGTGACTCTCATTTACACGCCCTGATACTGTTAGTAGTGGTTAACTGTTTCTGTGGATAAGAATGATGCCAGCTCAAGTAAGACTTAAGGATATTTATTTATTGGGCTTAGCATAAAGCCTATAAGGCTTTCTTATGCTGATTATATGGGCCACATTGGGATGATCAACGATACCCGTTTAATGGGCTTAATATAAAGCCCATAAGACTTTCCTTTGCTAAATATTTTCACGTATGATTTTTTCTTCCGGTTAGAGAGATTAGGGGGTGTTATTCGATTATATAATTCATGGGAATTTAAAATCCATCGTAATTAAATGAAACTGCATCTTAATGCTTGAATTAGTTTAGAATGCGATCATATAAAGTATATAAACTCATTTTTAACTGGAAAATATTGTATTGAACTATCCCAAACCCTTACGTACGTACATGCATCATCGGCGAACGCACGTTCACGAATGATTGGAGCTTGAAATATACGATGATGTAACATGATTTTTGAGAGTATTATGATTTTCTTTAACTAGTAACCAATCTTTAACACATTTTATTCACCAAACAAGCTACTCTCTTCTTTAGCCAAGAAATGTCTAATTTGTTTACGTTATATAGGACATGCAAAACAACACGTAAACAACAAGTTGCGTGTTACCTTAAGAAAGATAATTAAACAGCCACATTATTGTAAACGTTTAACTCCATATTTGTATTACATATATAGTTTTATCTTTTATTCATAACTGTTCTCACATTTGTTTTACATTTTATTCATAACTGTTCTCACCTTTGTATTTAGTCTTATATTATGATGGCAAGCCAAGAACAAAACTTTAATATGTAAATAAATACGACTGAAGAGTAATTAAATAATTGTTTCGCTCTGTAACCTGATCGTTGCCACGAAGTATAATATACACCTAGAGATTTCATAGCGATTAGTCTCAAATTTGCAAGCCTAATTGATACTTAGACTTAACAGTTAAAACAAAGATGAATGATTAGAGAGGGAGCAGTTGCGAGTTTGTTTGAAATTTGAAACCAACACTTTATCGCGTTTGTGTCATCTCTAGATTCATTTCTCCTCAAGCGTACCTTATTCAACTTTAAAAACTTTCCTCTACTTCTTTTAAAAACATGCAATATTACATCAAATAAGTAAATAATGGTGACATTAGAAATGCATGTTTGGTTAATAGTACTACTTGTTTCTTTTGATTATTCGAGTAGTATGGTTTACTAGTACAAGATCAATGCTCTTGAGATTTATTTATTATAACCATTTCTTAATATATGTATCTTTTGATAAACAATTTGTAACATATTTCTATGTTTGATTACTAATATTTTAGATATGAGTGTTTACACAATTATTTGTAATCTGCTGCTTAACCAATTGATAAAAAGTCTTAGGTCAGAAGGCACTTCTGCTATTTGACTATTTCCACACGAAGATGTATATACATTAGCCTTTGAAGCAAATGATGATGTCATTTTATTATAAGTAAATAACTGGGGCTTGTAAGGATATAAACGTCAAGAGAGTCCTCTATAAATATTCAAGATTGTCGAGTAAATGCTCACAAAAAAAGAGTGTGAGAGAGTCTCATAACTCGTGGTTGAGTCATGCAGCTCAAAAGGTCACCATCATCTACTCCAACCTCCATGAAACTCAAAAACATGTTCCTAAACCTCATCACGCACTCTCTTTACCGCCTTTTACGGTCGCTCTCTAGAGCAAAATCGATTCTTATAGAGATATCTAAACACAACAAGAAGAGGTTATTCATGATGATGTTTTACCTAAAAACTTCATCTATTCACCAACGCAAGGTCTTCTTCGGATCCTCCTCCACCCATGTTGTCCCTGTAACTAAGCCTTTCTCTATCTCATTTCATGCGGATGAAGATGAGGATGGTCATGAGTCTGAGTACTTCCAGTGGCTAGAAGAGGAGGAGGTTGATGAGACTTATAATATAAATGATGATCATAATGTTGGCGATGTTGATATTGATCGTTTGGCTGATATGTTCATTGCGAGCTGCCATGAGAAGTTCTTGCTGGAGAAGGTTGAGTCTTATAGGAGATACCAAGAAATGTTGGAGAGGAGTTTGTGAGAATTGAGATATGAGAGTGACAACAAATAGTTTGTTTGTTTTGTTCTTATTTAATTCTTGTTTGATGGATGTCTTTGTTTTGGGTCAAAGTTTGATGGATGTCTTTAATCAATAAAATGGCGGTGAAATATTTACAAACGTTATTGAGAAGCTTTCTCACTAATACTTCAACTGCTTTGTCTTTAATACAAATCACTAAACACTTATTATGCAGTTGTTTGCTGATTTAGAGAGAGTGGATTAGAAAGAGTAATAGATGGCCACTGTAATTTCACATTCGGGGTGCAGCGATACAGATTAGTCCCTTGGGTCTAGAAAATCTTTGGGGAACTGTGTATAATCAAAAATAAGAAAAAAGAGTAATAGATGGTTAGCCTGACACTCTCTAATTCTCAGTTATGCATCAACATCATACCCCTAACTTGTTAGCAAAAAATTACTTTAGGACAATAACTAATCACCTCCTTGCACGTTTTTTAAGCGTGTAGAAGGAGAAGAAGCTTCCTTCTTTTCACCTGCTTCTCTGATTAACTGACTGATACTTGACATAAGATAAAGTACATATGGGCCATGTTTTGCACAAGATTAAAAATATATATAATAGGACTAAAATACAAATATGAGCAGACAAGTACCACAATTACAAACGTGTATACGGTACATGTCTTTATGATGATGGAACCAGAACCACACATGATATGTTGTTGATCAAGTACACATTATATACCAATTAAGAAAATATTAGTATGTGCCTTCTTTAGAGAGAGAGTTTAAGAAGTTAAATCAAAACAGAGATTCTCAACTTAGTAGTTGTTTCTTGAAAGAACACACATAAAGGAACATAAGAACAATGGCTAGTAACATCTAACTATATCATATTCAAAGAGTTTCTTCAATAATTGATGACGGTGTTTCCAACCTCGTTAAAACTTCAGGGACTCCTGAAGTATCTCTTACTATCTACAAAAGAAACCAAAACAAAAAGGAGATAAAACTTTGGTTAGTGGTGACTAATTAGCTAGTTTAACCAGCCTAATGAGCATGAGCTTTAAAACAAAGTGTAGAATGGACTTACAAGAACCTCCTCATCTAGATAAGATATCATGAAGAATCTTTCAAAAGATCCACCTAAAGAAGATAACACACTAGATGATTCACTGAACATGTCAAGAGGAAAAAGGTTACGTATATATATAAAGAACAAGTAAGTGGCTTACTCAGGGGAATCCTTAGACCACTGGATAAAGTATCTTTGATAAGATCAGGAAGCTGCTGCAACGTTGTGGTCGCTTGACCCAATGCGCCTTTAAGCTGTTCAGGAACTGCTTCTTCAATGACTGTTGGGGATTCAAACATACCTTCCACATATTCTTCTCTCAGTCTCAGAGGTCCCTCCACAGTCAACTTAGATGACAAAATGATCTTGCTTTCTATCTGCAACTTTTTTATAGCTACTTTGAGAAACCTAATTTACATAAACAAATATTTAAAAAAAAAAAAACATTTTGAGTATAGTACCGAGTTCAGGAGTTTGATATTAGCAGTGGCCTTTGCGTTAGCATCTTTAATCAGTATCTCCATTCTTGAGAGGTTAGCCAACGTTGAAGGAAACCTCCTGAAAACAACACAAACAGATCAAAAGAAGTTTGAAGAAGAAACTTTGTGATGGTGAGCTTTAGGTAAGTACTGACTCGAATATGACCCGAGCAGCTAGTAAACCAGGGCTTCCAGAGCCAAACCACTCGAAGTTCCATCTACCTTCTAAACAAGGAGACCTGGAGACAAAAAAAGCTAATGAACCAATTAAAAGAACACCATTTCCCTAACACAAAAGCAAAGTTAAAAGTTAAAAAGAAGTGCAGCATACGTAGTTGGTCTAGGAGAAGGGTTAAGCCGCTCTAAACTAGTTATCCTCTCATTGACATCAATCCTTTGCATACTCGTCGTCTTCCCTGTAACTAAAGCTTCAAATCCTCCAGCATCCTTTAACTGTTACATTACATGGATCTAGTCAAAACACTTAAAGCTGTTCCTGTAATAAAAAAAAAACTCAACTATTCTAAGACATGATGCAGTTACTAAACTTTCTAACATCATTAAACATCTAAACAATAACATTTCACATCAAAACGAAGTAGTTTTAAAAGGGTGTGAGAAGTTAGTTTTGTTACAGCGAGAAGCAGAGATTCTTTAGCAGAGAGCCTCTCCATATCTCTGGCGTAAACAGAAGGAGACCCTTGAACTGCTTCCTCCTGCACCATTGCTCTTAACACTCCACTTCTCCGACACGAACCTCTCCTCCAACAACCTTTCACCATCGGGACAACGACGGAGACCTTCTTCGGCATTGAGTTTGAGAAGCTCAATCTAACCGCAGACGAACCGGTAATCGAACTCTGTATCAACGCCATGGAAGAAGACATGAGCTCAATAGAAAAAACAAACTAAAGATTGAGACTTTATGATGCGAATCAACCAAGGATATGAGAGTACTTTGAGTAGTAGGTAGGAGTTTCTTTTAAACCGTTAGCTTGATTTCCCGGTTTAAACCGGTTGGTTTCCGGTTTAAAGGCACTCCCTTTTTTACTCTCTCTGATGAAATTAAGACAGAGACTGTCTTCGTCGTTTAGTGTCCAAAGTTGAAAACTTTCTTCTCAATCCCGCCATGGAAATCGACTCCGAGATGACTCACGAACGGAAACAATCCGTTTACAGTTGTCTGGTTTGCAATCTCACTTACTCTGTTTCTTTCCTCTGTTTTTTTTACAAGTTTCCTCTGTTTTAATTGTGTGTTCTGAGTTTTTGTTTGTTTCTGAGTTCAATTGAAGCAGGATGAGAGGTTTGAGATACAAAAAGAGATGTACAGAGGACAGCAATACAGTCAGATTTACTTTGCTCGACTTCATCTCATGAGAACTCTTCTCTACTCTCTTGTCCCTACCTGGAAACCCCATTTGCCTGGTGAGTGTGCTTTGCCTTGTTTAACTCAATAAAGGAGAGTCCTTTTCTCATTACAGATATGGTGTGTTTTTTTGTTTGCAGTTTGTAAGGTTTTAGGACTTGAAGAAGGAAAAGAATGTATAATTGTGGGAACCTTGTTCAAACACATGAAGCTTAAACCTTGTGTACTTGATGAATATGCTAAAGAGGTTCGTTTAGTTTACAGTTTATGTCTCTAGATTGTAAGTGAGCATTCAAATGTCTGAAGAGTATGTTGGAATATACAATGCAGAGGTCAGTTACTCCGCTTGTGAAACCTCATAACTTTATGCACTCTAATGATAATCTGATCCTTGAAGACGAGAGTGGGAGAGTTAAGCTTGGCGGCTCTCTTCTTTCACCTGCAGTATATGTGACAGGTATGCACATGGATTGTGATAATGTGGTACATTTTTTTGAGTTGTGGTTGCGAGCTTAGTGTCTCTTAAATTGTTAGGTATAGTTGTTGCATTGCACGGGAAGGAAACTAGTGCTGGTGAATTCTTTGTTGAAGATGTATTAGAAGCTGGTTTACCACCTCAGATAGAGCAGCCTTTGGATTTAAGTAAGCTTGTTCCTTTTGCTTATCATCATATCTTAAAGAAGTCTCTTATAATTCGTCTTATCTTCTTCTGCAGAGGAAGATAAATACGTTTTGCTAGTGTCAGGCCTCTGCATTGGAAGCAGTTCGTCTAATCCTCTGCAGTTTCAGCTTCTTGTTGACCATATAACTGGGCATGTTGAAGATGATGAGGTTAAAATATCTTTTAGCTTTAAGGTTCCTCCCTATTTTTCCCCTCCTTTAGTTTCTAATGTGAGTTAGACTGTTTTGAACAGGAACTAGGCCTTGCAGCAAAGATAGTTCATGTGGTAATTGCTGGAAACTCTGTTGAATTTCCTCGAAAACTCTTAACTGGACAGGTACTGTAACTTCCCCTGCTGATATTTTTAAGATGGAGTTTTGGTTATCTGTTATGATATTTATTGGTTGGTTTTTCTGCAGAGCATGGCCTCGAAAGATCAATCAAAACTGTATGAGCCCATCAAAGAGCTTGATATAATGTTGAACCAGGTCAGTTAACACCAGAAACACCTGTCTCCTTTCAAATTCTATTGAGATAAAGAAGATTCAAAATTCAAAATAGAAGATTCAAAATTCTTGTTTTGTTTGTGGACTGTTTTTAGATAGCTGCAGGAGTTTCAGTAGATATCATGCCAGGCATGAATGATCCAGCAAACTTCGCATTACCTCAGCAGGTTAGTAACTACATAACTAAACACTAAAAAGACTGAAACTAGTATCTACAAATCTGATCGAAATGCTTTTTTTTTTTACTTTTGTTCAGCCTCTGAACAGGTGTCTTTTCCCTGGATCAGCACCTTATAACACGTTCAGATCATGTACAAATCCTCACTCCTTTGATGTCGATAATGTCAGGTATGGTTACTATACATAAAGAACACAAATCTCTTAACTGCAGTTCGTCGTCTGAGCTAAACCTTTTTTTTGCAGATTTCTTGGAACTTCTGGTCAGAACATAGATGACCTTGACAAGTACTCAGAGGCTGAAAGCAAGCTTGATTTTGTGGAAAGAACACTGAGGTGGAGACATCTTGCTCCTACTGCACCTAATACACTCGGTGAGAAATAATTCACCTTCTTCCTGCAAATTTAACTTTCTCGAACTAAGCCCTTAAGGAAAAGAAAAAAGGAATAAAATGTTATTCTGTACAGGTTGTTATCCTTTCACGGATAGAGACCCTTTCTTGATTGAAACTTGTCCTCATGTTTACTTCGTTGGGAATCAAGACAAATATGACACCCGTTTGATAAAAGGTTAATATAAGAACATGACTGTTACCTTTTTTTTTTGAGGTAAAAAAATGCTCTCTAAGTGTTGTTGGGGTAATATTTCAAATGTTTGCAGGGTCAGAAGGTCAGCTGGTACGGTTAATCTGCATTCCTAAGTTCTCTGAGACTGGTGTTGCTGTTGCGGTGAGTTAATGAAACTTGAGCAGATATGATTACTCATTTTAACTGCAGAAAGCTTATTATATATCTCAGAGTCACCACAATCACATGGTTGTTTTTTTTATCTGGCAGGTGAACTTAAGGAATCTGGAATGTCATACTCGTAGCTTTAGCATTCAGTTATAAGTTAAATCACTAACACTGAAGTTGTTGCTACTTGTCCAATATCTTAAATCTCCAAGTTCTAATCAGAAGTCTAAACACCTTTTTCAAATAGTTGGATGTTATTGGTGATATTATCATTCGAATATCTTGGCTTTTTTTTGCATTTTTCTAGATCTTTAAACTTTTGATTAGAGAAACTGGACACGAGTTCTTATGTTTTGGCATGAAAAGGACAAAAAGTTCCGACCAGATATCGTTGTCATTGGTAATGACGAACGTGAAAGACTGCAAAAAACAAATCTTAAAAATATATTAAGAGGAGTTACACAGAATTTCATGCAAAATGGCTCCTTCTCTCTCTTCTTCTTTATTCTCTCAACGGCTATATTCACACTTCTTTATTACAAAAACCGTTTCACATTTATATTCTCCATTATTCTACAACGGTCCATTTCTTCAATCACTTTGCTTTATAACCACAACTGTATTCATCTTCTGCCCTTTAATTCTCCTCCTCTCTTTCTCTTCTTTTGTTCTCTCTCTCAATGGATCTTGTTGTTGTTAACACAGAAGCTAACTCTACACAAACCCAGCACGTGAACAGGAAGTCCTCCGACGAGTTGCTCCGTAAGTTCGCCGATCCTGACGACGACGACAAGTCAACGAAGCGCCGGAGAAAAGCAGCTACTACGAACTCGAAAGAGAACGGTGGTGGTGACGTGGAAAGCAACACTAGTAGTAGTACTACAGGTTTGGTGGAGAGGAAACGGCTCTTGCTAGCTCCGGCGGCGAGTAAACGGCGGTCTCTGTTTCTCCGACAGATTGCTTCTGGAAAGTCACATCTCAAGAACAAGTCTCTAGTCAGAACTATCGGCAAGGTACATTCATGAAACCTCTAACACTAACATTAAAGCTTGAGTTCTTTGTTTCTTTTCTTCAAAATTTACAATCTTTTATTTTTTATTTTTTTTGCTGCTGGTTTTTGCAATTCAGACATGGCGTAAAACAATGGAAGGAGCTTCGAGAGTTTTCATCGAGAAGCATTATAACAGACACAGACGTCTCATCAACGATGTGGTCTAAAGCATCTTCTGCAACTTTGAACTCTTTTTTTATCTCTTTTTTTTATGTGTGTTGTAATTGTTTAAACGTGAATCTCCAACGTTTTCACTCGCTATATTACATTCGTTTGTATTATTATTCTTTTTACATTTCAGTAATATCAGTGCTTTGAATAGAACTCTTCAGTATCACTAAATTCATTTTATAAAATCAAGTTGAAGTTTGACATATGATTATCCCATATTCTTTACGCTTTCATTTTTTTGTTGAATTTATCACTAAAGGTTTTTGAACTACTCTAACTTAAACTAACAACATGATTTGAACCAAACCAATATAAGTATGTATTTTCGATTATTAACACTAGAGTTGCATACCAAAAAGATTGAACAATTTTAAGAGTAGTGTTAATTCTATAAAATCCAGAATAATAAATCAGAATGACACATTATCATTCAGTGGTGAGAAAATGTAAAAGCTAAAATAAATGAGTGGTAAGTGTTGAGAATCGACTCCCGATTCTTTTGTACCAAAGGAATAACAGATACTTGGGCCAGAAGAAGATGTTGGGCTGGACTTATATTTGACTAAGGCCCACAACAACTCACAGTAAGATTACTGTCTATTCTAATTTCCAAGTGGTTTCACTCAATTCACGATGCGCTTAGCGTTGTTTGCCTCTTCCTGCTATCGTAGTCTTGGGGCGAAGAAGAATCTGTCATCCACAGCTGGAACTTCTTCATCACAGAATCTTGATCTCTTCTCTCTTCTACACGAATCCCCAAATATAAACCATCTTCGCCATCTCCACGCGCATCTTCTCCGCACCTCCAATTACTCCAACGTAGTACTCAGCTCCAAGCTCGTTCTCGCTTACTCCAAGCTCAACCATCTCTTCCCTACTTCCCTTTCCGTCTTCTGGCACATGCCACATCGCAACATCTTCTCATGGAACATAATCATCGGCGAGTTCTCCAGATCATCACGCTTTGCCTCCATCTCAATCGATTTGTTTCTTCGTATGTGGCGTGAGTCCAGCGTTAGCGTTAGACCCGATGACTTCACGCTTCCTCTTGTCCTACGAGCTTGCTCTGCCTCGAGGTTCGGGGGTTTGGTTCATGTGCTGAGCTTGAAGTTAGGATACGGAGTGAGTTTGTTTCTTAGTTCGGCTTTAGTGGTTATGTATGTCGAAACTGGCGAAATCTCGTATGCACGTAAGTTGTTCGATGAAATGCCTGTTAGAGACTCTGTTCTTTACACGGCTATGTTTGGCGGGTATGTTCAGCGAGGAGAAGCTGTGTTGGGTTTGCCTCTGTTTAGAGAAATGATTCGTTGTGGGTTTCCGCTTGACTCGGTGGTGATGGTGAGTTTAGTTATGGCTTGTGGACAACTTGGGATGTTGAAGCATGGGAAGAGTGTACATGGGTGGTGTATCCGGAGATGCTCCTGCTTGGGTTTGAATCTCGGCAATGCTGTTGTCGATATGTATGTAAAGTGTTCAAGGCTAGCCTATGCGCAGCGAGTTTTCGATAAGATGCCACGCCGAGATGTCATCTCTTGGAGCTCTCTTGTTTTGGGTTATGGATTGGACGGGGACGTTGCGATGTCGCTAAAGCTGTTTGAGGAGATGCTCCAACAAGGAGTCAAGCCCAATGCTGTCACTTTTCTTGGTGTCTTGTCAGCATGTGCACACGGCGGTCTTGTGGACAAGTCTTGGCTGTATTTCAGACATATGCATGAGTATAAGATAGTTCCTGAGTTGAAACACTATGCTAGCATGGCAGATTGTTTGGCTAGAGCAGGTCTTTTGGAGGAAGCTGAGAAGTTTATGGAAGAAATGCCCTTAAAACCCGATGAGGCTGTTATGGGTGCGGTGTTGAGTGGGTGTAAGGTGTATGGGAATGTACAAGTAGGGGAAAGAGTAGCGAGGAAGCTGATTCAACTCAAGCCGGGAAAAGCTGGTTACTATGTGACCTTGGCTGGTCTATATACAGCTGCAGGTCGGTTTGATGAAGCTGAGAGTTTGAGACAGTGGATGAAGGAGAAACAGATTTCTAAGGTTCCTGGATGTAGCTCAATATAAAAGCAGCTACTACGAACTCCAAAGAGAACGGTGGTGCTGACGTGGAAAGCAACACTAGTAGTAGTACTACAGGTTTGGTGGAGAGGAAACG